ATAATAAAGTTGTAGTATGACTACTTGGAAAAAAAAAAATTTTTTTAATATTATCTCACTACATTGCAGGATAATTCGATTACATTAGAATAATTTCAAAAAGCTTTAAATAAACCCACTTTAGCTATCTTTCTCTTTGTAATTTTCTAATTAATTTCATATTTGCTACATTTATCTTATTTAATTTACTTTTTTTCTTGTTAATTCCAATTTATTTGCTTTTACTAAATTATTACTCTTTCGCCTTTCTTTAAACTTTCATTACTTTTTTATATCAGTCTATCATTTTCCCATACATTATCAATTATTTCACACTATTTTAAATTTGTTTTATTTTATTTATTATTTTTTTTTTCTTTTGCTTTTTTTTATTATTTTACTTTTTTTTTATTTTTTTTATTTTTTATTTTATATCCTTTACTATTATTATTATATATTACTTATACAAATAGCTCTGAATAAATTTAAATTTTATTCAACTCATGATGCCAACAGGCATGCACTGTTCGCTGGAATGACTTCTGGTCAAAATGTAGCTACTGCTGTTACTAAGAGACAAACTTCACAATATATCGATCTAGTTAAAACTATTTTACAACATTTTTCAAGACCTTCTGATAGTTTATTTTAAATAATATAATTTTTTTTTTTTGTTTTTTTATTTATTTTTTTTAATCTATATTACATTTTAAAATAATTTAAAATCAAATTATACTGGCTTCTATTAATAACTTGCTTCTCAATTTAACTAAAGAAGTAGCTAAATTAAATCAAAAAGTTTCAGATTTAGATAGACATGTGTTAGAAAGTTTTAGACTTAAAAATAAAGAAAACTTCATTAAAGTAATTATTAATGTTTGTATTTAATTTAATTTAAGCTAATATATTTTACTTTTAAACAAACAAGTTTAGCAATCGCTAAAAAATTAATCTTGAAAAATATTTATCTAATATTAGATGAATTAAAGGCGACTGCAAAGGCATACCTTGTAGAATTCGAGTGTGACTTTTATGAAAGCATGGAAACTAGAAAGTGGAATATATATTATGAAGATAATCTTGCTAGTTTTGTAAATATTTTAAATTATTCAAAATATTTCACATCTAGTCTAATTAATAGTCATAGAACTAATAATACTACCCAAAACTTAGTAGTTTAGAATTGATTGAAACTGAAACTGGAATTACCAGTTTCAGCTATAATTTATTTTTTAAAACTAGTTCGAAAGTTCAAAACTATACTAAAAGTTCAAAACAATATAAAAACCCGAAACTATATTAAACTCTGAAACTATATTAAAAGTCTAAACTATATCAAAAGTTTAAACTATGTCAAAAGCCTGAAATTATATCAAAAATTCAAAACTATTAAAATAATAATTATAATAATTAGTAGAAATTTTAAATAAGTTTTCAAATAATTAAAGTTAACTATCAAGTTGTTTATTGTAAAAAAATATAGACAGTATATAAAAAAAACAACATTACTATATTTAGATCAGACATGTGATTAATTTATATATATTATTAAATTTTATCATTATATACAGTATCTATTTTATATTAATTACCTTTGTTATTTATTAATATGCTTACAAAAATACGTAATTATATTGTAAGTGGGAATGGTTCAAAATCCACTTAGATTAGAACAGAATAATTATATTAAAATCTTAACTCTACCGAATCAACTTGGATTAGAACAGAATAATTATACTAAAATTCCAATTCTAATTTAAAAATCTCAAATCAACTTAAATTTCTGTTCCCACATATACAAGATTTTGTCAGGTTTTGCACTAATAAAAATTGAATTAAACTAAAATCTTGGTTTAACTTTTTCTAGTAATTAATTTAAATAAAACTTGTGACAGTAAATAACTTCTAAATTCTAAAATATATCGGTTATCATTATGCATTACTTCTTTAAATAGTTTTATTATGAGGTGTGGCGACTTAGTGTAGTAGTCTAGTCGTCACCCTCTCCAAGTGGCAGGTCTGGAGTTAGAATCCCACAGACGACGATTTTTGAAAATTAGACTTGTATTCGGTTAATGGCTATGCTTATCAGTTGGATCTAATCTGTAACTTCGGTTACACTATCTAGTAATGGGAGCAATGGTGCAATAAATCCGAGAAACCGGCATAACTGAAAATCTATTTGGGAAGTCCCGAGTTAGGAGTAGGAGTGATCTACAATGGTATTACAAGAGGGCTGAATTCGAACCGGAGCCTGAGATCGGAGAACCGAGCGACCAGGTCCTAATGACAAAGGACACACCAGCTGAAGTGCCGGGTTGTCGCACCAGAGGAAAAGGACATACGCTTCAAAAGTATATACCAAGGGGAGAGCGTCTTTCAGACACCTAAAGCCTGAGCAGACCGATCTTTCCGAGTTGCCGGCTAGAAGTAAGGGAGGAACCAATAAAGAATCCGGGTAAAAAGATGGTTTAAATGCAGATACCAGGTTTGCTGTGAACTTATACAAGGGCGGAAGTAAGTAATAGCAGGGGTTTAATAGTTAGCCCTGACCCTGAGTGCATGGGTAAAGCCATGGTACAGGTTACTAAAGTCTAGGTGATCATATGATTGGGACATATATAATCTAGCAATGTACTACCAATAGCATGGCATTTGTACCGGATAGTGGATGTCGTGATGTAACAGAAACTTGAAGGGAGCCGAAAAAAGTCAGTGCATACTTAACTCTTGAGCAGTCACTACTACTGAAAAATAGCTAGAGAACTGTAGCACTGCAGGGGAAGGGACCTGGGACCTCACATACTTACTGAAATGGTTGACGTATAGTGGGATACTTAGCTATAAATAGGTAGATAAACCAGCCAGGTAAGCCCATTGTAACATAAGTTCAGGCAGTAGGTATAAGTTAATAAAAAAAAAAAAAAAAAATAGTTTTATTATCCAAACTTGGTTATTTTTATAAATTTTTGCATTTAAATTTAATTTAAAAATATTATATATATATGTACGTATATATACCTTTAATCGAGCATAGCTTGTGCTACCTAGTGTAGCTTATTCTTTTAGATATAACAGTTATTTCAATAAATTTTACACATATAACTAGTTACAGTTGCATGCCAAATCCAATTGCATAAGGGAGAGGGGGTATTATGACGCAGGTAGATATTGTGATGCACTTGTGTTTTTTGACGATATCTCACGATACATTGATCAGAATCGAGCAATTTTGGTATCATTCGATTCGTCTTACTGAGACGAATCAAATGATATAAATTTTTTTTGGTTCCAATTGCTAAATCACAAGATATAAGTAAAAGTCGGCATTACTTATGATAGTATTAAGTTTCTATAATATATTTCTTTATTTGGGTAATGTCCGGAGAAAGGATGCAATAATACAATACAAAACACATAGTGAACATAGTGTGTCATAATACTCCCCAAATGTAAAAAACATAGCATTTTATGAGTAGATTTTGAAGGCTTATATTTCTATAATTTTTTTTTAAAAGCGTTTTTTTTTTTTTTATTGGTAGATAGTCAATTACCTGAGTAATCTATATCTACAAATTTTTAGAATAAATAATTTTTTTCTGAAAAGTTTTATATGAATAACGCTTAGGTGCGTCATAATACCCTTACCTCCCTTATAGGTATGGAACTTTAGTGTAAAAGTTTTGTACTATTTTATATATAACTTAAGCTTGAATAGGTTTGTAGTAACATGTTGGTTTGTAGTAATATATTCTGCATATGATCTATACGAATGTCACCAGAAATTTTTTTTTTTAGTATTTTATTATTTTTATCAGTATTATTTCATTACTTTCTAGTTTTATTTATAAACGAGGGAAATGACTCTTAAGAATTATTAATACAGTAGTATTTGGTATTATTTTAATAATCTAATATATTGATTTATATTAATATTGAGAACCCTATAGCCCGTAATTATGTGTAGTAGTTTAGCAATTTAAACCTTTTGACTTTTAATCATTATTTGTTCATGATTGAAGCTAAACCGAATTAATTACAAAAGCTCTTCTACTTAATCATAACACTGCCAAGAGAAAACCTATTATCTATATTTTGTACTAAACATATTCATTAAATAAATTATATTCGGTACCAATAACAGATAGCACTCATATAACAATTGATCAAAGTCATAATAGCATATTTATGATATAAATTATTAGTATAAGAAAGTATATAAGCATGATCAATAAATAATACAATAAGGTGGAGTCAAAAAATACTTTTTAGATAACTAATCGATCTAATAAAGACTTATTAGTTATAAGAATAGTTGTATATTTTGGAATTGTTGGAGCAAAAACTTAATCAATTGCTCAATTTGAAACAATTAGCTATAGTCAAATTATCATCTTGAAATTACATATTAATTATAAGTTATTGTATAGTGGGTAAAAAAATATCAGTACGATAGTATGGGTATAAATCAGTGGATGAATCAAATATTTTTCAGGTGTTTTAGGGCCGTGATAGCGGCTCTAAAACACCTGAAAGATATTTGATTCATCTACTAATCTATATCCATACTATCGTGTCAATTTTTTTACCCTCATACAATAACGTTATTATTGTCCAGTAGTTGTTACTACTATATATATTTGATCATATTAAATAAAAAACATAACTCAGAATGATATAAACTCGAAATTTTGTTTTTCTCCTAGTTTTTTTTTATATGTAAAAATTTTTTAATTTTATCAGTTATTTATAGCATTATTAGTTTTAAAACAAAATAAAAAAGAAAAAGATCCATACAAATATGATCAAAATTTGGTATAGCAGTAACAACATGGCCATACAATAATATATATTTATTATATTTATCCATTTTTTAATGGCTTCACATAATTTATTTTCACATAATATAAGCCTATCATACTAAAATAGCTATTTATTTATTTGCAGTTCATTTTTTTCATTTTTAAAAATCTATTTATTTAGCATAAATAATCTTTATGATTTTGTATAATTTGTCTTCAATGTCTTTATATGATTCAACTTCAGTAACTTATGACTCACCTTTGATGGCTTCACAATATTCATCTAAAGAAGTTGAGAAAAAAGAAGCATGTCCAAAACATTCTGGAGAAAGACCACCAGATCCTGTTTAGGAACATTTTTTTGCAACTCTATTAAAATCACCAGAACATTTTTCTGCCAAATGTAAATATTGTTCTATATCATTTAATTATAGACATTCTAATTAGCTTGAGGTGCATCTTGCAAAAGAATATAAAAGTAAAAACCTTGATAATAAATTAAAAGAAAAGTATCTTAAAGTTGTAATTCAAAGACAACAATTAAAAGAAAAAACCCAAGCTTCTAGTTTAAAAAATCAAAATAAAAAACAAAAAATAAATATTAACGATTATTGGGAAAATGAAAATCAAATTTTGACCAGTTCTAAAAAAGAGACTATTGATTGTATAATTATTAAAGCCTTTGCTATGTGTGGGCTTCCATTTTCTGTAATCGAAAATCTATAGTTTATCGATATACTTAAATCTCTATAATCTTCATATAAACCACCTACTCATGAATATCTTGCTAATACCTTATTAAATGAGGAAGTAATTAAAATTAACTGAGAAACTGAAGAATACTTAAAAACCACTAATAATTTAATGCTTAGTAAATTAATTCTAATGCTAGTATTGTATTAAATCTTTAATTTATATAATTTATTAAATTAATATTAACTTAGGATTGGATGGTTGAACAAATCCTCAAGGTATTTCAATTTATAATTTTTTGATAATGACTTCTGATCATAAAGAATTTTTATATACCTTTTGTAATTTGTCTCATGTTAGCTATATAGCTAATTTACTTTTTGAAGAAATTAAAAAAATTTTAATTAAAGTTGGGCCTGAAAAATTCATTAGAATAATTTCTGATAATGCTTCAGCTATTTCTGCTATGTGTAGACAAATTAATTAGAAATATCCTTCTATTTTTAACCTTCGTTGTATTATTTATTTTGTTAATCTTATTAGTTATAATATTTTAAAATACAGATTACCTACATATATTTTAAAGAATTGTAATAAAATATGTCACTTTTTTAAGACTAGTTATTTAGCTAGAAGTTATTTAAGAAGGTATATTGAAGAATTTAATATTAGCAGAGGTAGATTGAAAATTTTTATAGAAGCTAGATAGACATCAGCATATGAAACAGTAGATTCTGTTTTTAGATTAAAACCTGCATTGGAAAAAGTAATTATTAAAAATTTTTATAAAAACTAGATAGACATCAGTATATGAAACAGTTAGGGTGAGGGGCACAGGGCTCTTGGACATGCCCCCTCTTGTGCATGCCCCTGGGCATGCCCAGAGGCATGCCTTTTAGCTAGAAGGCATGCCCATTTTATTTGATATTTAAAAAAACATATGTTAAGTGAATATGTTTTCTAATTGGTCAATTTAACTATTTCTAAAGATAATATTATTATAGTAAACTCTCTATAAATAAATATTGTTGAGAAAATATGCACTTCTAAAGATCTATATCTAGACTTTAATAAATTATTTTAAAGTTATTTATTATACTAATCAAATAAAATATGTATAATTTTATTAATAACTTAATTTAGACAAGATTATTTTGCAAATACTCTTAGATAGTTTAGTTTATTAGTAGATTATTTCAAAGAAAAGCTTGTTTTTTATAAACTATACTATATAGCAAAGTGAATTTATAGAAGATGCACTTATAGAAAATTGGCTATATATTTATTTACAAAGGCATGCCCTTCAGGCATGCCTCTAGTCCAAGGCATGCCCTTTTGGGCATGCTCAAAAATTTTTTTGTGCCCCTCACCCTAGAAACAGTAGATTCTGTTTTTATATTAAAACCTGTGTTAGAAAAAGTATATACTGTAGCATTATTTGAATTATTCATTTTACTATATTAATTGTAATTTTAAAATATATTTTGAAAATATTAAATGAACATCCCGATATTATTACTAATCAAGATGTACGAAGTATTTTAAGGTCTCGAAGATTTTTTTACAATATAGAACAAATATCCAGAATCTTTGCCCCAATTAGAGCTGTGATTTTGAAATTAGAAAGAGCAAACTGCTCAATAGTGGACTGTTTTATTCAATTAGTTTATTTAATTTCAATAATTTATTATATGCCAAAAGAAAGATATACAATTACTCTTCAAAATCGATATGTAGAAATTGTCAATAACCGTTGGAATAAGCTTGAAATTGAACTATATATTTTAGCATATATGATTTACTCTGAATATCGAGGTGTATATATATTATAAGCTAAATTAGCTTTTGTATGTTTTAAATATTAGTATCTATTAAAAAAAATTTTTTTATAGATGCTAGTTTAAGAAAAAGAGTATGGATACAAACTATCTTTTATGCCGCAATATTAAGGCAATTAATAGAGTATAAAGATAAATTATCTGTACAAACTCTTATATTTTAAATTATCAAATTTAAGGATAAATAATTTCTATATAATACTAGATATGATAGCCAAATAATGACTTCTTTAATGTGGTAGAGTTTTGTTGAAGATAAGTTTAATAATCTTAAAATTTTAGCTAAAAAAATTTTTGTATTAACTCCTTATAGCATATCATGTGAAAGAATTTTTTTTATTTTGGAGTGGTTTTATAGAAAAAAAATAGTGATTAAGTTTAAAATCACTAACTAAAATCTGACATCACAATTTATTTAATGCATATAAAGGGTTAGAATGCTGACATTTATTAGATAATATTTTAGGGGGTAGGGGGTCAAGCAAAACCTTACCTCATATAAAACAATTATAGCCAATTAAATTTAGCTAAATATTTTATCTAGAGGGGGGGTAAGCCTCTATAGTAAATAGATATTAGGTAATAAATGTCAGCACCCTTATTATACAGTGCAAAAAACAAAACTGAAGATGAATTGGTAACAATAATTCAAGAATCATATCTGTTTAATAATAAGGATCATATCAAAGAAAATAATGCCAAAAATAATGATGAAAATAATGAAAATAGTGAATTAGACGATAATAATTTGGTGATTCCTAATCATCAAGTAGTAGTTTTAGTTATTAACAATATTGTAGATTTGAATTATCAGGTGTTTAATCAAGCAGATAATATATATACTTCTAATGAAAAAAATAGTAATTCAGATATTGCTATGAATAAAGATCATGAATTTAATTTAGAAGAGTTAGTTCATAATCAGGATTTTGAATAGTATACATATTAAATATATATTTTAAGTTATGTATTTATCAGCATATATGTTAGTATGATATAAATAATATAAATATATATTATAAATAAAATATATAGTTTAATATAGTATATATATAGTAGTTTTGAACCTTAAACATTATATAAAATAAGCTGGGTAGTAATTTTTTTTCTATTTTACAGGTTTGCAGCAGAATGCCAAGAAGGCAGAGAGATTTCTCAATATATATATAATAATAAATACCTGTTACAAAAGTAGAATTCTTAAAATATTTGTTGTATATATTAAATCAACAAAATTACAAGATTAAAGATTAAGGTTATTATCAAAATGCAAGTCCTAATCCGATTGTGAAATAAGGTTTCAAAATTGTTGACTTAAATGTTTATATCTAAACTAATTTGACTATGTGAGTCAAGTGCTTCAATTTACAAACATTATTTATAATTAATGCGAATAAAACAATATATATAAAGTGATATTAATTTTACCAATTCACTAAAAGTTACCATAAGATTTAATTACAACAAAGCCAGGTCTGTAAATGTTTGAACCAAAAATTCATCTAACCTGCTCCAAGGTTAAAATATGTAATTCTATCAGTTCTTTACTTATAATCAGCTTGCTTTGGCAGGCCCCACTGGCTTCAATATTTCTATAGCAACTTCTAGCACAATTGCAATTGATTTTTTTTAGAATTTCAATCTAACCAACATGGTCAGTAACTTGCTTCTCTATTATAATTTTAATAACCCAATTATTTGCTAGCATTAGTCAAATCAAATATGATGCATTTTGTATAATGCAAATACTTTTCAACAACTCATACAGGGCTGGAATTGATCAAGTTTGCTCAAGATCACTAAATATTTTATTAATAAAACTATAGTTATTCGTTAAGTAAAAAGTGCCTAGCTAATAATTTTACTATAGCTTATACTAACCAGTATAGCTAACCCAAACCCTAATACTGATGTATTCCAACAGGTCCTCCTGTAAAAAATCTTTTCAACAGGTATATCTTTATGTTTACTTACTAGATCAGCACAAATAAAACAAATTAAATAATCGATAAGCTTAAATAACTTTATAATGATAAAGATAAATATTAATAAACTCGAATATCCTTGTATTATAAATAATTCTGGAATAGCTGAAAATTGTTGATAACCAATCTGCAAATTACTGAGTTGGAGAATTTATTAAAATAGCTGTAAATAATAATTTTATATTATTAAGAATAAGATAATAGGTTAGTCTACTATGTATATATTTTTATACTTAACTATTAATTCTGTATAAATTAAATTGGATAGAAATAACTATAATATTAAATTTTTAAACCTTTATTTATCAATAAAATAGCATTGTGTATATAGTGTGATGCAAATTACAAAACTAAGAATAATCACTATTGCTATCACTAGAAGTTTAATCTATCTAAATATTTAGTATGAATCAAAATATCTATATTATTTTATTGAATAAATTTTGTATATTATTTTTTTCTTGATTAAACTTATGGAAGTAAAACTTAATAAAAGTATTTTAATTAAGTAGTGATTATATAATATGTTTGTATATAAGCCTAATTTTGGTAGTAATACTAGAATTAGATAATTTTTTTACAGATATAATATTTAATTTTAAAATTAGAAGTTTAGTATAGTTTTGGAACTTTAATATAGTTTTGGATTTTGATATAATTTCAGAATTTTGGTATAGTTTTACAGTAAATTTTAGTATAGGTTTAGAGTTTTGATATAGTTTCAAAATTTTAACAAGATTTAGAGTTTTGAAAATTAATTTCGGGTATTTAAAATTAGCTTAGGTTTTGGTTAGTAACCCAAAATAGTTTCGGGTAGCATCATTACCAACAAGTTCATTTCACAAACAATTGATTTTATCGAAGCTCATTTTACAGGCAAAGTAATTCTGATCAATATCACTAAAGTTAAGTTAGAATTAAAGTTAGTGTAATTTATAAAAAAAAATTGTTGTTGAAATGAGCTTTGGTAAAATAAACTGCTAGTAAAATAAACTTGTCGGCAAAACAATACAGACCCATTTTGAATATACATATATACAGATAAAAGAAGATTTTCTAAATTCACCTTTAGCAAATATAGTTTGTTTGATAAAATGCATTTATATGTAGAATATTCATTATAGCAGCTTATGCTAAGAATTTGAGCTATTTTATTATAAAATTATAAAATTTTAGAAGCTTTTTTTGTGGTGTTTTTTTTTTTATAGTCAGGTTAGGGTTTAGAAGTATAGGTAGATTTAGTAGGTACTGTATTATAGATTAAATAGAGACCTCAATTCTCATCACTATAGAGAATAATCTGTGCATAATATTAAATAATAATATTAGATTGATTAAATTATATGCACTTATCATAATAAACTTAAAGAGTGTGCACATATAGAGTATCGACTATATATATTGAATTTATTATACCGAAACCACAAACTTTATCGAATCAGCTAAAAAATCATTTGGCCAATTTTTATCAGATATTTCAGAAATTATAAAAATAGCTGTAATAATATCTAGAATCTTAACTTGAGATTTACTTTTATAGCGATTTGAAACAATTGGCCAAATGATTTTTTAGCTAATTTGATAAAGTTTGTAGTTTTGGCTAGGTTTCGGCATAATAAATTCAATACATATATATATCAGTTAATTAGTACAAATATTACTAAATATCGTATTCTGGTTGAATACAGAAATATAATACTTCAAAGCTTTTTTGCTGAAAAAAGAATTTAGAAGGCCTATCATTTCAAAAAATTGCAAGTTACTTAGGTATTTTATATCTTTTATAATTCGGGCTCTCAAGTATTCAAAGATATAGATATATTGAAAAGCCTCAGTCACTTTAAAAATAACCATGTTTACTGATATTGAAAAAAAAACCTGATTGATATTTGTATGAATTACAATCCGAAATAGAATTTAGGTTAAATATAAAATTAGTCATAACAATTTGAAGAGCTACAAACCAACTTGTATATACAAATAATGCAAAAGCAATATTTTATTTATATATAAGAACTTATTTAACTATACACCAGTTAGCACAATATATTTATTATAAAAATCTAATTATTATATACTGTAGTGCTTTTTTTAAAATTTTTTATTAAGGCTTATTACATACTAAACATGTCAGATGAGTATTCAAACAAAATTTTTTTAATGTTGACATTGTTACAATGATCTGTAAAAAGGCATGCCACAAAAATTATTTTTATTATATGACTATGCCAAAATTACAAACTTAATCGAATCGACTAAAAAATTATTCGGCTAAATTTTTATTAGCTGCTTTAGGAATTATAAAAGTAATAGCTATAAACTAGTTAACAAATTCATATTCTTATTTAACTTTTTTAATAACTGCATTTGTTTATGTAATATATTTGCTATAAAGTCTAATTTATATTCAGATTCTTTTTTATGTTTCTTATTAATGTTATTAGTTGATGGAAGTCTTTTTTATAAATTTTCATTGAAGAACAAAAATTTGTTATAATGATTGTAAAGCTTTCATAATTTTTGAATATTTGGCTTTAACAAACTACTGTAATTATTGTCTACTAGTCCTAACTGCCATATAGAAGCATATCCAATAGTTAGATAAAGGAGAAGAATGTTTACAAAGACTGTTTACTATATATTAGGTCTGGATACCCAACTAGTAACTATTGCAATTGTAGTCACAAAGAGCTTTTAATTCTCCTGAACTACTAATTTTTTTGTTTGTTTACTAATTTTAATTAGGTAGAACTCTTGTTAAGAAAAAAACATAACTAATTCTTTTTCTAAAATCAGTAAATTTTAACAAAGAATCTACTTTCACATCTATCAAATAGATGATAATGAGAAGATACTAGAATATTCTCTACAACTATGATTCAGGGCAGTCTAGTCACTTTGCTCTTCATTTCTATAAGAATCGATATCACCTAACTAAAACTAAATGTAAACAAATATAAACAAATTAATAGTTACAAAAATAAAAATTATTTTTAATATCATTACAGTAAATAATAATACCTAAAAACTGCTTAGCTAGCTAAGCCAGCCAATGTAATATGATTGGCAGCTAGATTTAAAGGAGTCAGGTAAATTCTAAAAAGAAAAATATTGGCTAATGGCTAACAAATACTATAATTCCAGAAAATTTTGGTAAACTTTCTATATTTATTCATTTTAGTCAGCTAGCTTAGCTAGCCAATTAAAACCTTATAGCTTAAATCACTAAGTTCTGTTTGACAATTATTCACTGACATTTATTTTACCGAAGCTTTTTACAGACAAAGTAATTCTAGTTGTTAGTGAATAATTGTGATATCTACAAAGTAATTGTTAGTGAACAGATCCTTTTCTTTGTGCTCAGGTTTAACAGATAATCTGTATACCTGGCCTACTATTACATGCAAGTGCTGAACACATAGTACTATATCTTAATTACTACATCCAGTATTTGCAGAATCAAATTATTTACCTCTATAATATGACATAGTGTAGCTAATAAATTTATTTCTATAATCAATTTTAAAATTTTCAGATTTAGATAGCTCAAGTAGTATATTTTCATCACTTTGCCATTTGGTAAAAATTTCAGAGTTTTTGGCAATGGTCATTTTTCAAGTTCTTTTTCAACATTTGCTTATTACATTTATATAACATTGTAGTGTATTTTCTATAATTTTTGATCGTAAGTCTTTATTACATAAATATTTGAAGGTTTGGTCTAATTTCTTGATTATAAGAAATTGATTTTTCATACAAGATTTCTCACATAATTATACTAAATGAATAAATATTTGATGATGTCCTCTTTTTCAAAACTTCTAGTGCTATATATAGTAAAATTCTATAAACTCCACCAGACCTGCTTCTAAAGCTATATCAAATAATACAGAAGGTTCTAAATTTGCAATATATCTATATTACTACTATATAAATCTTGATGAATAATTTTTTATAAGTGAATTATTTGGAGATTATATGTAATTCTTATTTCATTTTTAACATATGATGAAAGTTTTCATGCAATGAATCTAAATTAGCAAGTTTTAAAACAAGGATATAATTTCTGTCAATCAACTTGGGCTACTATAATTATAATAAATATTTTTTTTGCTCAGGAAATGGTGGGCTATATGGTTTATTATAAATTACTAGTAATGTAATTAGATACTATCTAAATTTTAGAAATAAAATAGTGTTTTATATATGGAATTAACTTGGATAATCATTATTTTAGAAGCAAGGTTTATATTTTTTAAGAAACTGTCTGTTATTTATCTAACGATTTGAAAAGTTATCTATACTCTTGCATTTACCTTGCATCAGATTTAAGTCGCAAGACAGGTTAGTAAAAGCAACAAAGTCAGATGTTTATTTTTTAATTAATTTTATTGGCTGATAGTCACGTTTTTGAATTTATATAAATATTTTTTTTAAAATTACATAAACTTAACCTGAAAAGTTCATAGAAACAACAAAATTAGATGCTTATTTTTTTAATTAATTTTATTGGCTGATAGTTATATTTTTAAATTTACATAAATTAGCCAATTTTAAAATCATGTAAGCTCAACTTGAAAAAAATAAAGTTCTACTATCTGCAAACAAACAGAAAATTCAACTTGAAAAAGAAACTATTACCTTTAAGCCAAGATCTGCCTTGTCTGCACCTGCCTTGTTGCACCTGCCTCGCCCATCTGCAATTAAGATGGTTTTAGGTAAAGAAAATTCTCTTTTTAGAGTATTTTTTTTACATTATAGTTTCTTGTATTTTGTGTATTTTTTCTCTCCTCATGGAATGCTATTGCTGTGCTATTTCCGCTCCTTATAGAGTGCTTTTATTATGTGATTTCCTCTTCTTATAGAGTGCTTTAACAGTGCTTTTACTATGTGATTCCCTCTTCTTATGGAGTGCTTTTACTATGTGATTCCCTCTCTTTATGAAGTGCTTTTACTGTGATTTTCTCTCTTTATAAAGTGCTTTAACTATGATTTTCTCTCTTTATAGAGTGCTTTTACTGTGTGATTTTCTCTCTTTATAGAGTGCTTTTATTATGATTTTCTCTCCTTATGGAGTGCCAATATATAACTTCTTGTAGAGTTCCTTTTACAAAATTAGGAATACTTAAAAGCTTACTAGCTCTGGAAAAGGAGTTGGTACTTTAAAAATATATAAACTATACAATTTTTTTTTTATACATAGAAAGTGCCAACATCGTTTGTAGTTGTTTCTCTAACCCAGAGAGAAGTGTTCTCATCTATGGTGAACTACAAGGTATTTACAAAAAGGTTTTGGAAAATGGCTTTGGTACTTTTCCCTACATATGTTCTTTCATGTTCAAAAGAATGCTGTACTTACATAAATTAGTATAAGGATATATAAATTTATTAAAAATTTTAATGGCTAATTTTATTTTTTATATAGATACATTTTATAATAAAGAAAAAGCCTTCTGTTTTTACTATGATTTGGCTAACAAACTACCGAAAGTTGCAAAATTTAGTCCTTTTAATAAAAGAAAGATTCTTTTTGAAGTGGCAAAATATTATAATTCTTCGAAAAAACAAGGACACATTTCAGTAAGACCATAGATGTGTTTTGTAATAAATATATTTATTTTATATTAACATATAATCTGCTTAATTTTATAAATAAAATAGTATTTTTGCCTTCTGAAATTAGCTCTTGTTAATCATTATGAATTGTTAATGAAAAGAATGAATTAACTAGAGGAATATCTTGAAAAGATCAAACTGAAAAAAAAAGAAAAATAAATGATTAATTGTATATTAAATATACAAATATTGTATATTTTACCCATTTTACAGTATAATAAATTTGAAGTTATATATATAACTTTATAAATTTTATTAAATAAACATGTAATTTTTATATATTAATTCTTAAGCCATTATAAATTTTATTAAATAAACATATAATTTTTATGGAAATAACAATTACAAACCAATTATTCAAATTGATACTTTTTTACATTAATTTTTAAGCCATCTGATTGGTGATTTATTTTATTAAAATATATAAAAAAACAGCAATTATGTAAGTTTTAGCCAATTATCAATATAATAATAACAATAATTACAGTTAATAAATATACTAAGAAACCTTTACTTTTGGGATCAATCAATAGTACTTCAGGATTAACTCTCATTAAAAAAGTAAATGAGACCTAAAAATTTAATAAAGCTTGTATATTGAAACTAACTTTTTTGCTATTATTTTTTAGAATCTACAGTAATAGTGTCTCACAACCTTTATTAAAAAAGTTTGTTTTTGGTTAAAACAAACTTGGATCTGAAAAAAGAAAAATGTTGGTGCATATTATACAATGACTTTGAATTTTAGCAGTATTGATTTTGGACTAGAAGGTGGAAAAGTATTAGCTATCACAGGTCAAAATTTAATATATCTTATATTTAAGCTATATATATCAGGTAGCAGATATATAAAGATGATGTAGGATATACTACATATAATTTACACATATTCTACACATATTTTACACTTTGAGAGATATGTGTAGAATATGTGTAGGATATGTGTAGTGTGAATGCAGACATGTGTGAGATATCCTACATGTTACTCAAATATTTCATATCGGATAGGTGTAGGATAGATGTAAGATATATGAATTTTGACCTGTGTATTGCATTCTGCAAGAACCTTATATTGATTTTAGTCTTGGAAGGAATAAAATTAAACCAAGTAGGAGAAAAGCATTAGTTAATACATACTATCTGTTTGATTATAATAATATTATCATACTGATTCTTTAAATTTTTGTTGAAATAAACTTGGATTAACGCTTTTTTAAGAACACTATACTAATTTTTCGAATATTAGAAATAATAATATTTATGAAAAAGAATCAGCAATGGCTAATTCACTTTACACTGATTCTTTAAGATATATGTATATACTATAAATATAGCAGAGACACTCTGAAAAAACTATGCTGATTTTTTAGATATTTATTAGAATAAACTTGGATTATATAGTAAGAAACGCTTTACAAGAACTGACTATAATAGATACACTTTACAAGAACTTCACACTGACTTTTTTAGAACATATATATATGCATTACAGGTGTAGCAGTGACACTTTGGGAAACCATTGTTGAATAAACTTGAACTATGATGAAAAGCATTAATAGATGCTTTTTGCAAGAACACTATATATAGTCTTTAATATTTAATCAAAGAGAACTGGAAATAGCTAATGCACTTTATACTCTACACTGACTTCTTTAGGTATATAAGGTGTACGCAATCTAAAAACCTCAAAATTTCCAAATATGAAAACAATATATCTACTACTGTATAATATAATATTTGAATATAATACAAGATATAATATTATATACGTATAAGTAATTTTTTTGATACATTCATTATAATATGGAGTGCTGTTAATTAGATGAACATTAACTGCATTTAAATCTTTATTTAATTTCATTATTTTAAAATTCAGCAAGTGAGTATACAGAAATATAAATACTATTTGTATATCAAGAAATAGATCGATATCGGTAATATAACAGTGCAATATTGGGATACCCTGATATCTTACTCTTAGTACTCTGGGCCTAAAAGTAAGATATTGAGGTATTTCAATATTTTGCTGTTTATATTGCTAATATCAATCTATTTTCTGATATCTTACCAATATACTAACAACATACTGCTAATATTTAGCAAGTATTTGGCGGATTTATAAGAAACTTTTCTCCTAGTATGTACCTGATATTTATTGATTCAACCTGTGTTGTTTTTTTTTATTTTTTTATTATTTGAATATTCACATTTTAGTAAGTACTTGTTTATTAATCAATATATTATATAAATTATTTAAGTCTTGAAATGCTTACTATTATGTAATGCTTATAGTTATTAGATAAACTATTTTTTGGTTAATGACAAAGGCAAAACAAAACCTAAGCCCTAAAATCCACAAAATGATGAAACCCTTAACAAGAGATAAACCTCAAATTCTATTAATTGGTGATTTACCAGTCAACCAGAGAATGATTATAGTAAAATGTAACTCAAATTACTTATAAAAATTGGGGGTCTCCAAATGTGGCATATATGTATCTAAAACTTTTTTTATACTAAGTTAATCACTTTTCTAACTTAAAAGACTTTTGTAAAGCTTGTCAAGACGCATCTAATGGTGGTTAGAGTGTCAA